ACATTAACGTGAATTTTTCTGTGGGTGTCGTTCCACATACCCTGTTCGTAGGAATCGTCTGTCTCACAGACTGCTCGCCATCCCTGATTTCTCTGTAGAGATAACGATATTAAAAGGGGGAGATTTAATACGGCATTTTACTCCCTCATGCAGAAGGAACAATTAGTCACCACTGAATTTTATCCAAAAAATGTGTGGTATCAATAAGGGCGTCAAAATCGCCCGACTCTGCCTGAAGTGCTTTAGCCACTTCCTTTTGTCGGTATTGAAGTTTACCACGAGGGAAAGTTTCAAATGTAGAAACAATAAAACTAATGCATCTAGCCAGTTAGCGAATGGTTACTGACTGACAATATAACTGCCAACATTCGAACTTAATTTTTTCCATCTTAGATTCGGGGGTTTGCAGTGTCATAGAAGATGAATTGATCGTAAACCCCAAGTACGTCAATCGTGTCTCGGGGATCAAGGAAGATTTTTTGAAATTGATTTCAAACCCGAGAGTTTACAATAGTACGTCAATCGTGTCTCGGGGATCAAGGAAGATTTTTTGAAATTGATTTCAAACCCGAGAGTTTACAATAGCCTTATCATGGAGGTGGTGTTACGACAGCTTTCTTATTCTGAAGAAGACAAGATGAGTATATCATCTAAGTAAATGACCAAACGTATACCTTGACCTCTAGCCAAGGCCACTACTGGCTTCATAACCTTTGAGACAATTATTGGAGCCGAAGATAAAGTCAAACGGTAGACAAATAAAGCAGAAAAGCTTTCCTGCCCATGAGAAGCAAAGGTAAAGTTGATCTTTCTCAGACAGCGGGATAGAGAAATATGCATCTTTCAAGTCTATCGATGTAAGTAGTCGTTATGTTGTATTACGTTTTTCATAAATCTTATGTTCTCCACTTTAAAGCGTTCTTACACTACAAATTTATTGAGATCTTTCAAGTTACTAACTGGTCTCAATTCACCCGACTCTTTCGGTATCAGAAATATGTTCGATAGAAAGCGGTATGCCGCCGGAGGGATTTCTCCGATTGCTTCTTTGAGCCGAAGCTCACTGATCTCAGTGTTAATCATGAGAGATTCTCGTTCGAAGAAATTTTACAGTAGATGGTTTGGTGGGTTTTTGGTGCCACATGGGTCGTTTGGGTTGGGACATCCGAGAGCCCCGAGAAGATGCACGCCAGTAGTGCTCTCATGATGGTCAATCTACTCCGGGAACGTGGCGACTACACGATTAAAGAATTCTCATGAAACGAAACACACTATCACAAACACCACACATAATTTAATTCAACAAAACCTGTGCCACACATCATGACGAGACGTGCCTTGAGGACAGGCTGGCGACCACTGCCCTCATTTGCAGCCACACCCATCTGCCTTACATAAGCCGAGAACCCTAATCTGTGCTAAATCGCATTCCTCACTGGCATAGGCCAAACAATTTACATAACATTGCTTATCCGCCGAAGTATGCGGACGAACATTTGTCTTTGGTGTTTATTATAAGGTGTATAACGGCGATAGGAAAGTTGAGGTTTCTTCTCCTCCGAGGTCAGTTTTCTACCGGCCTTGTATAGGCTTCTGCTACCTGTTTCATGGTATTATTCAGGTCTTTTCAATACATACAACAATATATCAGAGACGGGAGTATTGCGGGAGCACAGAGCCCGATACATTGGATCGAGGACCTTTTTCAGTTAACTCTTCGTTTCATGCTTAGTTCGTAAGAGGCATTCTCTGCAAGGGTTATGCCATCCAAGGGAAGTTATTTGACCTTGTCGGCATTCACAGGTTGGCCCGACTTAGCTGCGGTACGCAGTTCGGTAAGTATGTTGCAGTAAGGGAGCAACCCTGTAACAACATGTTTCTGAATTTGATGAAAGGTCACATCTTTGGATCTGGCCGAAGCAGGGATGGTTCCCCACAATTCACTGTCTATTCGTCTGGGTGTCGTGACGGCCACTGCATTTGACGGCGTTTGGCATATTGCTCAGCAATTTTTTTCACGTCTCTTTTTTGACGGGTAAAGTTACGACTTTAACCACCCTTTCGGCTAGATTGCTGAACTTGAAATCTCAGGGCCTTTGGCTATCTGTGTAAATGTCTTCGCTCGGAAGAACATCAAAATCAGCAGGCATGCTGCAGCGTCAGTACAAACCAGAACACTGGTCAGGTCAAACTTCCACCGAGTTGGGTCAAAAGCAGCAGCCTCTTGGCCACTAAGCAACTCTTCCTGGAAGTCGTCTTATGCTGAAACTTAAGATGAGGTGAGACCTCGACAGGGTTAATTGTCCTGGCCAGCGTGCTTCGCACATCCGGCAGGAAGGGCGGTTTTGCACCAGAGATGTCAGCATGTCTTGCATGGCGTTTACAGGAGCCAATAACTTCTGTATACCCTCAGCATCATTAGCCTGCAGTCGAGAATCGAAATCTCTGTGAGAACGAGGCTTACTTTGGCCTGGTTGAAGCGACCTGGTGTCGTCTTCCTCAGAAAGCGTCATCATAGCTGTAATGTAGGAGCAATGCCAATCACACGAAGAAAAGATGCAGCATGACTCCTTCCAGCATGGGTTTATATACCCATCCTGGGCCACCTCAGTGTTAATAGCATGCCTGACACGTGGAAAGGAATGCAAACCCCTCAAGAGTTGTACAAAGTGTTATGTAATAGAATTCTATGAAGCCGTTTTTCGATAGTGAAAAAAAATCGTCTATTTACCTAATCTGGCCATGCATATTCGAAACAATGCGGTTGCAGCATTTGAAAAGAAGAGATAGCAGTACCAAAGATTAAAAAAGGGGGAACATATTTTGAGAGCACATGTAAATAAATACATGCATTCCCAGTGCGTCACGCACAATTCGAAACGTGACCCGCTGCCATCCATCGTTACGCGTTTCACCCACTTCTTTCCCACGCTTTTCAAAATCGCAGTTGTACGCGCAATACTGCTGGTGGAGCGGATTGTGTCGCTGCGCGGCGCTATACAATCTTTGATTGTGTCTGTGGTTTTCAATTGATGCACGAAATGGGACGAAACACGAAAGAAATCAGGGCTGGTAGTTTGTAGCATCGCTACCTGCTACAAACCCCACGCATGCACGTTCCCTCCCTTTACGTTCCCTTTTCTTAATAGCCAAGCCACGCGCACGCGCGTGTTTAGATTTTTCATGTCATTGCTTTTCGACTTAAATTTCTTATTGGGTATTCTGCTTATGTTTGTCTTTTTGCGTTAGAAACGGTTGTAATTATGATGAATCGATACCATGTCCAAAAAGAAAATAGCGAAGTTTGATTTGGGGTCTTTTGTGGGCAAACTTGAAGAAGAGGACAGGGCAGTGCGGCAGTACAAGGACGCTTTATCCAATCTGGACCTTTCCTCAAATGCTCTTCGTCTGCTGTCGCTAAACGAACAGTTTGGACTTGCAGTGTCCAAATTTGGATTTCAGGAAGTGACCAGAGTCGTCAGAGCCATCGAAGTCAATAGTACTTCCTCGCTGTATGACCCGTGCATTTTGGCTTCAACGCTGGAAATGGACGTCAAGCTGATAAAATTCTTCTTGGGGCTACTGCGGTCCACCGCAAGTGGTACTACCACTACCAGCTCAGCAACGGGGCCCAACTACTTCTTGGTTCCACCATACTTAACTTGCATTTAATGTGGGCTTGAATTGAAGCCACACAATCAGCCGGTGAAGGTGAAAGTCTTAACTTTGCAGGGGTGCTTCAAAGGGCTGAAGTCGAACTTACGCTGCCGCAATTGTAGGGAGATTCGTTTGTCCCATTTCGTGCCTGGTATAGTGGTTTTACATGTATTTTGTAAACCGGGCCGTCAGAGCACGTGTTAGTCTGGATACTAGACCCAACGATTCTGACTACGCTACAAATCAAGGGTCCGGTATCACCCAATATCCACGTGACCAAGACTGGAGGAATTCCTCCAGTTTTCCGAAAATAGCCGAAATCCTCCGAAGTTGTCCCGTTTATATTCGGCATATTCGGATGGTACCGTTGATGTTTGGTAATTCCCGGCCGCGCCGGGTAGGTAGACTAGCTGTTGAACCTGAACTCCCGTATCCTAATGGCAGCTGTTGATCCTGCACTATTTGACTCTACACTGACATCGAAGGTCTCCTCGGCAATCTCTCTAGAAGAAAATCTAGGAAGAATCAGAACTTGACAACTGGCAAATGCCCCCCCCCGTGCGCCACTATTATGGGTGACCCCTGACCCTTACGTCATATCTGTTTATATCCGTGGGTGATGCCTGA